AATTTTATATCCTAGTTTTTCTACTAAGGCTCTGGTTATGATACTGGTAGCAGCTCCACTATCAATAATTGCAGTTTGAGCTTTTTGTCCAATCCTCAAAGTTTATTTCGCTGCTGAGGTTGGTTCATCATCACTTTCTACTAAATTGGCTTTCTTAGTTTCATCAGTGGCTCTTTCTCTTGAGCGTCTGACAGCTCGAGCTAAACCAGAATGATATTTGGTGATAGCATGTGCAGCTTGTCCTACCGAAAGTCCATATGGTAGATTTTGCAAATAAGTTGAGACATTAAATTTTGTTAGTTATTCAATAGGGGCAGGTAACAACCTCCTTTTAGGGGCTTTTAATACTTTTTCAGTTCTGACTGGTTCGACCATGGGTTCTGATGTTGGTTCTTCCATTTCTAATTCTTCAACAGTCATTTTGGGTGGGTTTTGAAACTTTACTGGTCTTCGTTTATTTTTTGACACAGCATTCTTTGGGTAAAATCCAGACCTAGTATTAAGATAGACTTTATATTCTTCTTCTTCATATTATTTTTCTGAAGTATATTTCTCATCATTATATTCTTCCTCATAATATTGGTCAGCAAGATATACATCTCTTGTATTATCATAATGAGGTCTTCTATCAGTTCCTCTTAATTGTTGATGAGGTTGAGGGTAATATCTAGCTATGTGGCATTCCCTATTACAGTTGTAGCAAGTCATGAAAGACATATTTTGTCTTGGTCTTCTATTAGTATCATTGTAGGATCGCTCGGTTCGTCTCCTTGGTAGTTGTTGAGGTTGAGCTAATAAGGCAATCGTCAGGTTGGTATAATTAATAGACAGTTGTTCTAATTTTTTAGTGAGCTCATCCACCTCGGCATTAGTAACCACATTTTTAGGAGTAGACACTGTGGTAATACTTATATCTTTAGGAGTTTTTTCAGAGGCAAAATTATATCCAATTTCAATAGTTTTTGCAGAATTTACAGTGGAATCTAAATCGGCTAGATTTTGTGAGTAGACTAGTAGAGTGTAGGCAGGATTCAGTCCTATAAGGAACATCATTTTCTTCTATGCATCATCAGTTAATCCTACGTGAGTTACTAATTTCTTGAATTTATTAGCATAAGAATCCACAGACTCATCTGTTTGTTGACGTTGTCACGATTGTTTCGTAGCTTCAAATAAAATCTCAAAAGAGTAAATAAAACTAAGACAATTACTCAAGGAATCACGGGCGATATTTCACAATAAAGTCAAAGAGTTATTCTCAATATAAATCACGTTTAGTAAACACAAAATAAACTCAAAGTTAACTCAAAGATATTTCAGAGATTACGCTTCAGAGACTCCAAGTCAATACAG